GCCCGTCCTGATCCCCGCCCTGCGCTCCCCGGGGTGACACGGGTGCCCCGGGGGGTCGGGGCGACCGCCGAAGGATGAGGTGCCCGGGGAGCACCTGAGGTGCCCAGGAAGGACGTGGGGTGCTCATGGGGCCCTGGAGGGATGCAGGCAGCCTGGAGGAACACAGAGCACCGTGGACAGACGTGGTGCCCGGGAGGGACACAACGTGCCCTGGACTGACACAGCGCCCTGGAGGGACATGGGGCACTCCTGACCTGGAGGGACAGGTGAGACAAGGGGCACCGAGCGCCTTGAGAACCATGGCATCGAGGCCCCACCACCATGCTGTGCCCTGCAGCCTGCTGCTCTGAGCAACGCAGCCTGCCGCCAGCCTCCACATGTCCCCGTGAGCCAGTGCTGAGCTCCTTGCAGCCCCTGGCAGTGGTGGCACTGGTGCAGGGGCTCAGGCGTGTCGGCACCTTATGGCCCCTCTGCTACAGCTGCTGGCAGCAGGACCTGTCGACACCCAGACACATGAAATCACCGCTTCCCTGAAGCTGCCTGAGCTGTCATCAGGCTTGCAACTCATTTCCAAGCAGGCGGGTTGTCCTTCCGGGGGTAGATTGCAGCACAGCAGTGTTACCCACAGCTGTGTGCGACAACACAAACTAGCCACGGGCTCCTGAGCCCAGGCATGTCCTCCCACCAGGCACCGGAAAGGCTTGGTTCAGTGCTTCCCAGAGCTGATCCTCAGCTCACCATGAGATCTTCCCTCCAAGGCCCTGGGACCTTGTGGGTTTCCAGCCGGGGTGTCAAGGATGCAGGCCAGTCTGTGCTGCGGCCCTGGCAGTGGGGTGCACCAGCAGCATCTTTGGGGTCAGACCTCAGGGCAGCCGTAGCTTTGCAAGTGGCACCACGCAGTTTATTTCTATTGCTTCATATTTCTTTTTTCCTCTAGTCAAGGGCAATACCTGGAGGTGGAAGAGTCGGGGTCGCTCCTTCTCCCTCTCCCAGCTGCTCACACACCACCTGGTCCCTAAGGGCTACACTGTGATGAGGCCAGGTAGGTCTGCCTTTCTCTGGACCCTGCCTTTTTGCTTTGGGGGGGTGGGGGTTGAACACGCTGAAAACAGGCTCCCCTTCACTACCATCCTACCCTCATCACCTAGCCAGCTGCAGCCTTGCCAAACCTCCTGCTCCACATTGTGCAAGGTCCCATGCTTACGCTGGCCTCATACCTTACCCAACAGCTCTTTCCTCCGTCTTCCCTCATTGCAACATTAGCTGGCCCCATCCCATGTGTCTGGAGCCTTTTGTTGCTCCCACCCTCTGGCCTGAGCTCTCCCCTGTCAGATGGGCCCCCGTTTTCCTTGCATTGCTCCTCAGCTTTGCCCTCTGGCAGCTTTCCTTGCCTCTCGGTTAGCTGCCTGCCCTGAGCAGGTCCTGGGGTTGGATTGCAAAATCCTCCAGCATGTTACTGGCCTCCACCCAAAGTCCATCCTGGTGGAGGGCTGGACCCTGTGCCGGCTGACCCTGCGGCAAAGGGAGTGCCAGCAGGGTGCAGGGCATGGAGGGCTGCCATGACGGGTGGCTACAGTGGGCTCCCACTCGCTCCTTGCCAGGGACAGGGCACAGCCACGCTGCCCCAGGGTGCAAGATGGGAGGAGGTCCCAGGGTGGGAGACGCTGCCTGACACCCAAAGGGCCTCTCAGCTGGGCCATCTGGCCTTCTCCATGTGGATGGACATTAATGTGACAAGAATTGATTTCGGGTCCAGATAATGTTTATGAGCAAAGACAAGCAGTTACAGTCTGGCAGGAGCACAAATACAGGAGGTGAAGTTCCTGTGCTAGCCCTGCCTGGTCCTTCCCAGCTCCCTTGGTGTCTCTGTGGCCATTCTCCTCCCCGAGTGTCTGCCCGAGTGCTTGGCAGACAGCTCCAAAACGTGGGGTCGGGCGATGCTTCCTCAGCGGGGACACCAGTCCCTGCTCCTCAGAGCTGTGCCTGGCATGCTGTGGGGTTCCTGAGCCCACGGCCCCACACTGGTGCCCAGGGATGGCCAGAAAGAGGTGGCTTCGGTCCTCGCGCAGTAAGCCTGGCCACATACACCCAGTGCAGCCGGTTCAAAAGTCTGGGCCCCTGCACCGAGGTGAAGACGCTCCTTGAGCCATGCGGCACCACGGTCCTGTGCCAGCGGGGTCTCTGGAGGGGCTGCACTCAAGCTGCCCCTTTGGGGCATGCTGCAAGGGATCGGGCACTGCACAAGGGGCAGGATGGGGGTGGCCAATTCATGTGCCACCCTCTGGCAGCCCAAGATGGCCCATGAGCACCCCAGCAGGCACCCTGTTAACCCGAGTCTCTCTGGGGTTGCTTTGTGTCCCCACGGGGAGGTAGGCAGGACCCTCACTGCCGTAGCTGGGGCATAGGCTGACCTGCCACCCTGTCTGCCAGCATCCCCGAGGACGACTTGAGCGCGGCAGGTGGTGCCTAGGCCATGCTAGGTGCTGCAGGTGCTCAGAAACAGCCGCTGCCAGAGCTCCTGGCTCTGGTAGGCCCTTCACCTCCGAGAGGCACAGCTCAGGCCTTTCTCGCAGCCATGGCTCCAGGACAGCCTGCCCAGTTCAGAGCTCCTGCAATGGTCAGGGCTGCCTGGCATCCAGGGGCATGGCTCCTCCAGGGCAGTGTGAGGAGCAGCGCTGGCAGTGCCGGGGCCAGCCCTGTCCCCACCTGGGCACTGTCACCTGCCCTCTGCGGGCACAGCAGTGCAGGGGCCCCCCAGCACTGCCACATCCCCCCAGGGAGCCCCTCACCCTCGGCACAGCCACAGGAGAGCGGCGTGCAGAGGGTGCCAGGTGCAGGCAGCGGGACCCTGGGGGGCTCAGCTCTCTTCCAGCAACAAGGGGGCACCTGTAGCCCCACTCCGGGATCCCCACAGCGAGGGACTGACCCTGGGGCCGCAGAAGAAGGGCAGCCCCCCCTGGAGTAAGGACATTGCCTGAAGATGAGTGAAAGCCCTGCTCACCCCTTCCCCAGGCAGCTTTGCACCCCATCTCTAACACCTGGGTTTCACGGTCCCACAGGTGGGTTCCCCCGCGTTCCCAGGGTCGCTCCGTGCCATCTCCCCCGGACTCACAAGAAGGATCGGGCACAGCCCGGGCTGCCCCAAGCAACGGGTGCCCCAACCCAGCAGGGGTCCCCCCAGCTGGCACCATGCGTGGGCAGTGCCCGTCAGTACGTCTGGGGCGTCAGGATGAAGAGCCGGTCTTCCTCCTTGCGGATCCACTTCATGAGCTTGTTGACAGCACTGATGGCACCAGCCTTGGTCCCCAGGGGACTGTAGCATATGTAGAGCTCGAAGGCGCTAGTTACCTGAGTGAAGAAGCGGGGCACATGTCAGACCCACAGCACATGTATGCACCCCACCTGGGCCTGGCGCTACTTGTTTCACCCCGCAGGCTACCAGGAATGAGCATTGGCACAGGGGCTCAAGGGCAGAGACATGGGGTGTCAGTGGGGCACCCTAAGCGGGTGGCACCTGGTTTGCTCAAAAGCAGGGGGCATGAAGCCCCTGGGTTGCTCTGTCCCCCACCCCTCATGGCAACAGTGTTGCCCCCTGGAGCAGGTTTTCTCTGTGACACTGAGGAGTTCACAACAGTGGATGGCATGGCCCTCGGTGCCAGGGCTAGCCATGCTCCTCACTCCAGTGCTCCCTGTACACGGGGACCTGACCCTCCCTCCAGGCTGTTTCCCAAAGGACCAGGCAGACTGGGGACCACCCTAGGGACAATGGTGCTGGTGCTGTGTCCTGTCAGCGTCCCCTTGCTCTGCCATGCAGGACCAGAGAGGATGGGATCACCAAATGCTATAGATGGTCTGCTTCTGCAGGAAGCCTGGGCTCAGCCCTCCTCTGGGGACCACCTGCACAGCCCCAGGGATGGCCCTTACCCAAGCCAGGAGGTTTTCACGGGGGCCTGTGAAGTAGATGTTCTTCAAGGGGCGCGAAGAGTTGTGAGCTCGGCTGTGGAGGTACTGGTAGAGCCCCAAGAGCCTTTCCTTCTCCTCCTCCCGCACGTAGGGTGCCTCAATCTCAGGGCTGCAGGAACACAGTGCCCCGTTAGCCCCCCTCGCTCCCCAGAGAAGAGCACTTGTGGAGGAGGCTCACCCCACGCCCGGAGGCCTTGGCCTAAGCATGGTGACCTTCCCCGGCTGGCTCACGGCTGAGCACTGCCCCAGCAGCCTCACCTGGTGAAGAGCCCAGAGCTCTTGGACTTGTAGATGAAGTGCCGGAGGTCAGGGATGCCCACCTGGGCGACACTGTAGAAGGGGGTGCGCAGGGCCTCCTGCAGAGCGTGGTGCACCCCTCGCCGCCGCAGGCGCTCCTGAAAGCGCCGCTTGCAGTCAGAGACGGTGAAGAAGTCCTCGCGGTCAGTGGAGACCAGTAGGAGGCACAGGTCCATCTCCTGCTCCAAGTAGGAGATATGGGCATGGAAGAAGCCACTGGAGTTGAACTTGGGGAGGCAGATGGGAGTCCAGGCTTCGCCCTCCCGGAAGGAGGAGGAAGAGCTGATGAGGTTGAAGAGGAGATGGAGGTCGATGGGGTGGAGGAACTGGTCCTTCTTCCTGACGAGAGACACCAGCTGGTTCCCTGACAGGAGGATGGAGAAGACAAGGCTCTTGGCCTTGGCCTGCTGGAGGCTGGTGCTCACAGCATCCCTGACACCGGCAGCCAGGGGCAGGCAGCGCACAGCGCCCATGAGGAAGCTGGGGTCATGGGCCATGAGGTCAAGGAGGTTGTCAGTGATGCGCTCAGAGCCGGCGAGCAGCCTGCGCAAGTCGTAGTTCTGCTTCTGCTGGAAGATGTGGTTGAGCTGGGTCCAGGTAAGCAGGCTTAGGATCTGGTAGTAGATGTAGAGCAGCTCGTGGGCGATCTCCTGCTCTGACTGCCGAGTCCGCGCCACTGCCACCAGCACCAGTGGGCTCCTCCGCACGAAGACCACCTTGTAGCCATCTGCTTGGGAGGGAGGTCCCCAGGGAGGTGGGGAGAGACCTGTAAGCCTGGGTCCCCGCTGCTGCAACTGGGAGCCAGGCTGCACTCCAGCCAGGCATCCAGCGATGTCCCACTGTCACCTCCCCCCCAGCCACCTCTCTGCCCCGGGCGGAGCTAACATGGGGGACGGATGAACCCTAGGAGCAGGGCAACAGGCCAGGCACTCCGCGCTGCCCACCGTGCCTTTCCAAGGACGACACATCGGCCCTGCCGGATGAGCCCTCAGATTATGCAGGGAGGGCCCCCCCCATGCCAGACTGGGGCAGGCTGCAATGGCACCTGGTCCCGCTCACCCCCAGCTGCCCCCCAGTGTGGTACCTGCATGGATAGACCGGATGGCATTTTTCTCGGCCTCCAGGAAGGACACCAGGGCCATCATGACACCCATGGTGCTGGAGAGGGCCTCCTCAGACCCATAACGGGAATACACAGGCTTGCCTGCCTCGCTCAGCACGAACACATGCTTCCGGTGCATGCGCCAGGCATCCATGGTGACATCCTCCTCCTCCTTGCCCGACAGCACCGAGTCGTGGCGGGTGGCCTGTGGGGATGGCTCCAGTTTCCCCTCCTTGTTCTGCCTCATCTCCTCCTCCAGGTCGAGGGCCATGCCTGTGAGCTGGGTGCTCAGCTCGCTGAAGTCCTTGCTGATCTGCTCCATGCTGGTGGGCTCGGCTGGCTCCCCCTGCCTCTCCTCTGGGCTCCGGGCCACCGCTCCACCGTCCTCGGGACTCGTCAGGTCCTCGTAGGAGCGAGTGTGCACAAACATGGCTCCCTCCTGGCCGGCCCCTGGGAACCATGCAGCAGCATCCAGCCGCCTGCCTCCTCTGCTGAGGAGGCTGCCGGCCGGAGGGCATAAAAGGGACAGACAGATGCAGGGAGGGACCTTCCCTCCATCCCCGTGGCCTGCCGTGGCCACCCGGGGCTCTGCATGTGGCGGCCTCCAGTCCTGCCCTGCCAGCTCCAGCCTTCCCAGGGCACCCAAGGATGCATGTCCTGCTGGCAGGGAGTCATGCATGGCCTCGTGGGGCAGCAGAGGGCCCAGTCTGCATAATGAGGAGATGCATTTTTCTCATTAACCCCTAATGAGTACGGTCCACCCCGGTGCCTGTGCTTCCTGCCCCAGCACAGCCCCCAGGCTCAGCAGGTTGCCCCCTCGAGCGCCTTGGGGCAGCCTGGAGATGCACCTCTGCGTGGGCCCCTGCCAGCTCCTGGCTCCCCGTGGTGGTTGCCTCGTGGCAGCTCCAGCACGGAGGGTGACCCACAGCCCGCGGTGAGCTCTGCCCCCTTACCCGGCTCCGTCCCCTGCGCCAGTCCTGGCGTGGGACTCTCGGCCCGCTCAGCGTGCTGGCCATCTCCCGGCGCCAGGGATCCGTTGGGCACTTCCCAGCCTTTCTTCTTGTGGACATCCGCAGCCATTCCTCGGGGCAGGACCTGCGTACAACCCACACCGTCACCCTGGCAGCTGGGTGCTCCCCTCCATTTCCCCGCCTGCAAAACGGGGCCCAAAATGCTCCTCTCGGAGCGGGTCCCTGCTGGGACCAGCCCGCTGGGGGATCGGCCACCTTGGCGTCCTCAGCTCGATCGTGCTGGCTCAGCAGGGAGCACAAAGCTCCTGGTGAGATGTCAGGAAAGCTGCTCTAATCCAGCAGGATTTCCTCCCTCCCGTGGCGCCGGCCCAGGAATGCGCCGCACCGCTCTGCCCCTTCCAGGGTCCCGGCACCTTTCATCCAGTCTTGGCCTAAATTTCCCCCGAGCACTGGGAAAGCCTCCCAGGGCTGCTCACCCTTCCTTTGCCCTCTTCCCTGGTGTCCTGGTGGAGAGGGGAAATGGAGGCGGCCCTGGAGGGAGCAGATCTGCGCGCAGAGCCCAGAGGCCTCATGTTTGCAAAGGGCGGATTTCTACAGCCCGCCGCGGATTAGGAGCCTGTGACACAACCCGCCAGAGCAGGCCGGTGACGCTTTTCCTGCGCCTACAGCCGCTTCTCCAGCTTCTGGCCAGGTTCATGGCCCCAGCGCCAGCCGGCCTGAACCCACGACAAGCGCAGGACCGGCCTTGAGCCCCCTCCACACGGCTAGCCTTGGCCCAGCCGGGGGGAAGCCTCGTGGGGGCAGAGCCCCGGCCGTGCCTCCAACCCACACTCTCCTCCCTGCCCATGGGGGAAACGGCCAAAATGCACCTAGTCAGCAACCAGGTTGGGAACAGAAAGCAAAAGCAGGAACCAGGCTGCCATGCAACCCTGTGCTGCTCCATTGCTCCTGCTGGGGCTTCCCCAGCCGCTGCAATCAGCTGCTGGTGGAGCCCCCCCGGGTCAGACACCTCCTGCCCTCTGGGGCACCTGGAGCAGGGCAGTGGTCGTGGCCCCCATGCCAGCAGGAGCACTGCACCGTGCAGTGAAGGCCATCGTCCCCTGTGCCGGGACAGACCCCAGGGCTGCCTCCAAGCCGGGACGCTCTGGACCCTGCTCCTGGCCATGTCCCAAAAGCCTACAACACCTCTGAGCACCCTGAATGGCGCCAGGCTGGGGATTACAGCCTTGACCTCGCCTGGCCCTTCCCCTCCCTGCTGCTCTGCACCGACTGATCCTGCTCGCAGTCGTATGAGTGCTGAAATTCCCTGTAATGATTTACAGCTCTGACGATAGGGCCATTGCTGCCGGGGAATGACAAACCATGATGGGCCCAGTGTCCCTTTCCTGGAGCCCTGGCAGCCGGCTGCTACCAGCACGGCACATCCACACGCGTTCCCATGCGGGATTTCACTCCGTAGGGTTTCATCCAAACCCCAGGCCAGCACCTCCATGCTGGCTCGAGACCCCGGCTGCAGTGACGTGGGGAGCAAGGGTCTCTTCGTGGAGCCCCCCATGGTCCAGGGCTGTCAGGGTTTCTGCAGCGCTTGTACTGTGGAAAGCAGCAGCTAGGGAGTCTCTCCTGCCCGGAGCGCTGGTCAGCAAAGGGATCTGCCCTGGGGGTCAGCAAAGGGATCTGCCCCAGGGACTGGCCCCCCCAGTCCAGGGGAAGCAGGGACCTGGTCCCTTCTCCCGGCAAGGCAGCGGTGCTGGGGCTTGGTGCTGTTGCTCTGCACAAGGCTGCAGTGAGGGAGGGTGCAGGGCAGCGGGGCTGGGGCGCCGGGACCCCTCACTGTCAGCTGCCCACCTCCAACTCCTGCAACCCCCG